ACTGGATCCTACAGGACCAGTCATAACAGAAGCAACAGTAGGGGATAAAAGAGTTGTTGAAAGAATATGTGGGTAGCTGTTACCACTGGGTAGCAAATGCATACTAAGGATAAGGATTTCATCAGTTTATGTTTTCCTTACAATTTTGAAGCATTCAGTCTTTATTTGAGACACTGTGTTTCAGGGACTGTCCTTTCTATCTTAGTGAATCAATGAAACTACCATGCTCCTGTCTCTGTGTCAAGTGGTCAGGGACAATTAACTCTCACCTTAGTAATGCTTAGTACACTTCCCTTTTGAAGGCCATTGAAAACATAAATTAGTTAATTCTCGGAACATTACTACAAGTTAGACATGATGCTACATGTTAGATATGAACACTACAAGTTAGACAAATGCTCTCTCCTTTTTTTGAGAACTGGGGGAATTATATGCACAAGTTTAATGATTTGCACGTGAAAAACAAATTCGGGAAGTGTGTGCAGAAGAACATGGAGTGCACTGTCTGCTAGAACTTGGTATAGAATACTTACTCTTTACAAACTGAGGCATTTTAAAATTTACACAATTTATTGACTCTCTTAGTCTGTCAGATGAAGTAACCCTGTTTCTCTTTTTACTTGATGTTGCTACTTCTCTCTGTTCTGTTAGTATTTAATTATGTTTCTCCCACACATGGCATCTCTGCTGACTGGGCTGTACAATCTCTCATTTAAGTTACATCTGGAGCACTGACTGCCATCATGGGAACAAGATTTTACCACTCCAGAAAATTCATGCCTGCAGGGCTAATTGCTGGTGTCAGGTACAATAACTTTTTTTAACCTACTTTGTGTGATTTCTTATTTGCTTAATTAAAATGAGATGGAGTGAATCATATTTTGTGTACTATTTTTGTACCCATGTATCATTTACATGAAGTATTTGAAAATGAATTGACAAATTGTTGTTATTATTGTTAAATGATATGGTTTTTCCCCTTTTACAGTTTGCTCATGGTTGGAAGATTAGCACTGAAGATGTTGGAAAAGCCCCAGGAAAAGTAACTGTTAATTTTATATCTTAATATTTGGAAAAGGAAACCTGATAATGAAGTTGCATGAATGCAGAAGTGAGAAGATGGAAAAATTCTCTGCAGCAAGACTTTTTTTATCTTTTTTTGTAAGGGGGAATAGAATGATGGGACAGACAGTTTATATACAAGATAGAGCTGTTTGTGTATAGAGAGAAATGGGTCCTGGGTTTGATTTTTCTGGGCATGTTTCAATGTATTCCAACACTTCCATGTTTTTGTATTCCAAAATATAATAAAATATAAAATATAAAAAATAAAATATAATAAATTTCTGACATGTATGAAGCAGAGAGAAAATATGCTGTAATTAAGAAAATATCCACAAAGAGGCACCAAGAGTAACCGCCTAAATACAATAATGTATCTCAAACCTTTTATACTGAGTATTACAGTGTGCTTTACCTGTTACATTCTGAATTGATATACCATGTCTTTATAATGTCAAACAGATCTTGCCTTTTTATTGTGAAACTGTGCTAAAATTATGCTTTTCTATAAGTAAAATTTGTTACAAACCTTTCTTTGGCTTTTTTTTGGTACAACTTTGGTGTTTGGGGACAGGGGTATTTTTTTTCACCTTGTTTTCTCAGTGGAAGTCTTTGCAGTGGACTGTTAGTATCCAAGTGCTGTCGTTCAATGATATTTTAAAATCCTTTTATAAGTGGAGGGACAGAAGATTAAATTATGGGCCTTCATTAATACTTCATTTAAAAAGTTGGTTGAAAGGAACTTACACTGTGGATTAATTAAGTGAGATTTGTGCTAGGCTAAATGAACAGTTGAATGTGACCTAGACTGTATAACTGGAATAAAATACCTTAACGCTATGTAATTCTGATCTTACAGGCTTATTTTATGATAGAATCTATTGGCATTTTATTTTTATCTCTTAGGAGAGTGGCTGTGCCTCTTCAAATCTGTCTTTACTAGGAAACCCTGGAGTCTGGAGGGTTCCTTGTTCTGCTGTGATGTCTGAGGACTGAAGTGTGTGTGGAAGAGGCATCAGTAGCATCTGATGCTTTTGCTGTCACTCCAACCTTAATTGCTTCTCCTGCACTGAGTCTTGCAGCTCTGTTAGTGCAGGCACAGCTCACATGGGCTTAGCACTGTGATGGAAGGGAGAGGCAAGAAATGTGTGAAAGAAAATCCTTTATAAGCTTATTATTTAGTGATACATGATTATTGATAAATTAAGATTCTTACAGAACTTTATTTTAAAGTGATATTTTATGTAGTGACTATTTAGGAATTTACTTTGGCACCTTTGTACCACTGATTATACCAGAACCTTGTCAACTGCTTAACATGATAATGGGAAAGCAGGTTTAAATTGCATCTTAGACACTTTCCATTTTGTAGTGTTTAAACTAATTTGTAAAAATTGCCTCAACCTGCATAAAGGAGATACCAAGCACAATTTCTCCATTTTGTTGGTCACTTCAATGCTTGTATTTCCTTTTCTGAAAATGACATTTAGTAGTATTGAGTCAGTGACATTTTTACTGTTGTGAGTCAATGGTTACTCATATGGTAATAGACAGGAAGCTACTGTAGTAGAAAGTAGTAATTACAAGCAGATCTATAGATGTTGGGCCACTTGTGCTGTGTGTTACCAATTCGCTTAGCAAAAGTTATAAAATTAATTCCAGGTTTTTGAATATGTTTCATATGGTAACCTCTCTTGTTTCCAGGCACTCAGTCTGTAAATAAACTGATCTATACATCCTGTAGGATGACTCTGCAGGGAGTAACACTGAAAACATGTTAAAGCATGTCTGAAATTGTAGTCTCAGTTAAATCATAGTCTTTTTTGAGTATACTTTGAGCAGAACCTAATAGAAGTTTTGTAATTACCTTTTCATGTATTTGAATCACCTCATGTAATTGAATAGAAAATTCCATCACTGATACAGAATTTTCTAGAGCCATTCAAGAATTAAATACATAAATATCCTTTCTCCAGACTGCTCCTGCTTTTAGTCTGATTGTTAGCTAATTCTGAAAGATTTCTTCCTGAAGTTTTTTTCCACTGAGAGTGGTCTTCATGTAAATTTGAGATAATTACTTTTGCATTAAATCCACTGTGGCTATGCCATGGCTTGAGTGGAACTTTATGAGTTGGCTTGCACATGGATTTTATAAAGAGTGATTTAGTTATTTTTGGGAAATGAAGTGCTAAAATAACTTAAATTAAGGCTTCTCTGTTCAAAGCATGCTCTGAAAATAAAAATATTAGCTTAATATTTCTTACAGTTTCAGCTGTCAGCACAAGCTGAAATGAATACTGATTTTTTCGAAAAAGGTCCAGGAACAGGAAACTAGTTTAACTATACACATACTGAGTCATCAGGATTCACCAACTCAGAGTTTAATCACACATGTAGAACTGAGAATTGAGAGAAGAAAAGAATTGGAGTTGTCAAATCCTCGTTTCCTAGAGTAAGGGCCCAGGTCCTCCATTCCATGTCTACTTGCCTGATAGAGGCTGGGTGGCAAGAGGAGATGTCAGATATTTTACCCCTCTCTTGAGTGGCTTGCTCAGGACCAGAGGAGGAAATTTCCTAATCCTTTGGTAGGTAAGTGATCTCTTGAAAGTAGGAGTTTGCCCTAAATTTTGTAAGGAGAATGTTTAAGCCTATCTTTGTAATAGCGGTTACTTACCTTGTGTCCTGGAAAGCGAGAGATGTTGGGCTCCCTTCAGTTCCTGCTCTGCAGGGGTTCAAGTTCCCTTCCCAGGGAAGGGCTCCTTGCCTCAGTCTGTGGGATATCCTGCAGGGAGAATGTTGATAGGGGAAGCCACACCACAGCTAAGAAGAGATTGCAAAGTTCCTGGGATCTGTGGGAAAAGGATCAACTGCTTTTTAAGTCTTCTTTTAAAGATAAATCGTTAATGGCAAAAATGCAGAAACATCCTGAAGCTGAGCAACACAACTCAGATTCCTCTCTGCCCAGAGTGAAAAATCCATGGGCCAACTTAGATTTCACCTTACATACTTACTTCTGGTTAACTCCAGGGTCTCCAATCCAGGATCTTACCTGTGGTGCCCCAATTGCTGAAAATGAGGCAGTATCATGTACATATAGGTTTAGAATGTTACAGAGCACCCAATTAGTGAAAATGTGAGCAAATATTTGCGGGGGGGAGGGGGATGTCAAAATATTGGATAATTGAGTGCTTCATTTGTGGCTTAATCTTTACAGGTACAACACTGAGACCTCTAGTACAGCAATAACATACTTGGGCTCAATTGCACCACTGAGTTGAGGTTACTCACACACTGATAGATGTCACAACCTAAGCTGTTCTTCCAGTTAATGTGACATTTGCAGGTAGCAAAAATCTCTTTAATGTAGTACAAATGTGTAGTATAGTTTAAGAATTCAGGCAATGTTGCACTAATGGTATGGGCAACTGTCTTTCACAAGCCAGCAAAGGAGAATGAGAGGAGGGTAAAAGATATTTCAAGTGGAATGGTTTAGAAGAGAAGTAGTCATGTGCTGTCCTACTTCATCCCTTGTTCTAAGAATATGGTACAAGCCTGTTTTAATGCAAAGCAAGTCCCCTAACTCTTGTTCTGCTGCAGGCTTTGAAAGTGCAGTTTGCCATGTCCCAGTTCTGTCAGTCATTGTGCTGGTAGCTGCTGGCACTCTGTCATCACCAGCTGAGGGTCAGTCTGTACTGAAACTAATATGGCCTGAAGTATTACACAATTATCCTTTTGTGGTGTTAAAATTGCTGGCTTCTTGGCATTATAGTCATGCTTTCTGACTGCACAGCTTAATCACCTGGAAAAATGGGAGGGGGGAAAAAGGTCAGGAGAACCTCCAAGCAGTTATGACATGAGGAGGAAAGTCTTTGTTTCTCCAGAATCCCTACAAGTAAAAATGGGAAAACGTTGTGTCAATAAGAACACAGAGGCATCTGCCCTCATCTCCTATCCTGCTTTCTTGATATGCCATGATGGAACAGATCAAAGTGCTTATGCTTTTATGCACTATCCCCAGCTCAGTCCAGTGTGCAAGTGACTTTGGGTGTTCCCTTTAGTCTTTTTGTGCTTCTCTTCTGAGCTGTGAAATGGAGATAATGTTTTCTGTATCCCTTCCCTGTCTGTCTTTTACATTGATGTCTTACACAGCGTGTGACGTAAAATGTTCCCTGCCCCAGGAGCAAGAACTGGAAGCAGGAACTGATACTGTTTTTGTGCTGGTAGTTCATACAGTGTTTTGATACTTTTAGAAAAACACTAATGAGAAAAAATATTTGCCTTATCTCATTAAATGTTAGTATTTGCTAATATATTGCTATTGTATTTTGAGATCTCGTCCTGCAAGCACAGTAACTAAGTGGGATTGAGTTATAGTGGTAATACTTAGAATCATAGAATATTCTCAGTTGCAGGAGACCCATGAGGAACATGGAGTACAACTTGTGACTTCACACAGAACAGCCTAAAAGTGAAAGTATTTATCTAAAGTCATTTTAGAAGTGCTTATTGAACAGCAACAGGTTTGGGACCATCAATGCTGAGATCTTGTTACAGTGCTTGGCCACCCCGTCACTGAAGAACAATCTCCCCTCCCCTCCTCTCCTCTTCTCCTAAATGCCATTTTCAGAAATACAAACACTGAAGTGACCAACACAATGGATAAATTATGTTTGGTATCTGTTGTATGCAGGTTGAGGCAATTTTTACAAATTCCTTTAAACACTACAAAATGGAAAGTCTGTAAGATGTAAGGTAGATTTTTTTTTAAATCAATTTTTCTTTTATCTCTTTTTCTTTCTTCTCTTTCTTTTGAGAGGAATGACAGGTTTGTCTTTACAAACAAGCTGTGGGTCTGCTGATACTGAGAGATAACAGAAACAATGGGATGGATTCCACTGGAAGGGACACTGAGGAAACACTATGAATTCCACAAGAGTTAAGAATTAAGAGGGGGGTTATGCACTGTCTTAGGTATTAGGCATTCCAGGAAATCTGTACCTCTCAAGTACCTCAGCCTAGGGGGAAAGAGAGAAGGGACATAAGGCCTTGAAATTAGGAAAAAAGGAGGCTGTGCCCTCTAAAAATTTGAGACCCCAGGGGAATGCCCCATGGCCTCTCCCTTGATTCAAATATAGTAAAAGGACTCCTCTGTCTCCTTTTTGGACATAAACCTCTGCTGGTTGTGGATTTTCTTTCTTTCTTTCTTTCTTTCTTTCTTTCTTTCTTTCTTTCTTTCTTTCTTTCT